TGTAACTCTTCTCGATCTGTGTGAAAAGTCTCCTATTTGTAACCTTCGTTTGTCGGCACGAAAGCTATTTGATTGTAGCTTTCATTGTTGAAACTTGACGGGAATCAATCATCCATAGTGATTTTTAGACGAATATTTGCCCACAGCTCTCTACCAAGCAACTCACCAGCTAAGTCCAACCTTTTATTTCTGAAATCATTACAATGCTCATCAGCATCTCTAATAATTGCTAATATAATATTAGTCATGCTATTGTCGCAGCCATCAAGATCAATCATCTCAGAGATGAGGTCGTGTTCGTAGCGGTTGTAGAGTTGCGGATGCAGTGATTATAAAGTCGTCTGATTGTAACTTCCATTGTCGGGGCTTAATAGGGATTAGCTATCCATTGTGATTTTTAGACAGCCTACAGGGACCAGTTGATGGACATGGATGGTGTTTCATGTCAGATAGGCAGAAAGTAATACATATTCTTAAATATTTTTATTTATTATTGTAAATATCACTTATTTTGATTGATGCATGTTACTAGTAACCGAGTTCCTGTCTTTGTAGGCATTAATTGAGGCTTTGCAACTTCTTGTACCTCAAGCTGAAGTAAGGTTTTGTGCAAGGCATATGAATGCCAATTTCTAGCAAAAGTAGGCAGGAAAGTCATTCAAGGATGTTACGTGGAAAGCATGTAGCGCATATACAAAATTTATTTTTGATGAAGTTATGAAAGAGATCAAGAACATGGATGAGAGTGCATTCAATTACCTCATGGTTGTAGATCCATCTCACTAGAGTAGACGTGCATTTACAGAAGCTACCAAGTCAGACTTCCTCCACAATAACATGTGTGAATCATTTAGTAAAATGATTCTTCAAGCTAGAGATAAACCAATTCTCGCTGCAATGGAATATATAAGAAGATTACTGTTGCTATTCTGTTGGCCCAAACTTTGGCCCGTTACCAAAAGGCCCATTTCCCTTTATTTATCTGATGTGCCCTAGCCCCTCTATTTTCTTCTCCTACCCGATAGTTCTAAATCCCCTCCGATCTCTGTGATCTGATGGCCGCCGCTGTGAGTCCCATCTTCCATCCGTAGGTCGGCTCCCTCCTTTGTTTTCTCCCCTAGCCTCTCTCCCGTGTCGGCTGGCCCCCTCTCTCCCTCCTTTGTTTTCTCCCCTAGCCTCTCTCCCGTGTCGGCTGCCCCCTTCTCTATATAAGGGTAATGGGTTGGTAGTAGCTCGGTAGAGGATCAAGAGGAAGAAGAGATAGTGAGGAGAAAATTGAGCTTGAGCTCTACTTTGATTTGTGCGATCTCCCTCCTTCTGTGAGTTTTGTGCTCCTGTGAGCTTTGTGCTCTCACCCCCTTTGTGTGATCCCCTTTGTGAGTGACGGGTGGAGGAGATCAGTGAGCTCTCCTCTTTGAGTTCTTGGTGGTGCACTGTGAAGGAAGAACAGGACTGATGTCAGCAGGCTTCTGAGCCAAACAGCGACGAACTAGAACCTTACAATTACTTATATAAGAAAGCATATCTCAGTTTGAAGGGAGACTGGTACCAAATGCTCGACATAAAATTAAGCTATTTAAGAAAGAAATAAGAGATTATGTCATAAGAAATGGAGGGCCTAGACAGTTTAAAGTGGATCACAATAATGATACATTTGTTATTGATTTCAATAATAGATGTTGTGGATGCAAAAAAATGACAGCTTAGTGGATTCCCTTGTATACATGGAGCATATTTGGTAAAAAATAATTGGTCCGTTAAGGAATATGTTCATGAGGCATATACTAGGGAAATGTACCGTAGCCTATTGCCCTATTTCTTGGCATGAAACAATGGCCTATGACTAAAAACCTTCAACCGGCACCTCCACCCAACAGAATAATGCCATGTAGGCCAAAGAGAGCAAGAAAGAGAGAGATAGGAGAGCAAGTTGGTACTTCACTGAGGGAGAAAAGGAGACAAGTCCAAAATAGATGCAAACAATATGGCTAATTTGGACACAACAAAAAACATGCAAAAATTCAGTCATGCCAAGAGCTCCACTAAGCAAGTGTGGTAGACCAAAGAAATCATCAGTTGGACCAAAGAATATTCTAAGGACTTATAGTGTGGTAGGTTAAATTTTTTTAATGAAATTTTTCTCTAATCACTTGAAATTTGAATTTGATTTTAGTTATTGGAACAAAGGAGCAAGAATACTAGACCCCTCAACTTAAACAAAGATCATAGAAACACTTCAACATGTGCTTAGGATCAGGTTAGACATTTCTTTTGAGCTTTCGCATTTGAAATGTTAATTTGACTTTGGATTTTTCTGCATTATATCTACTTGTCTCAACTTTTTCACTCATTTTAGGATCAAACAAGTAGTTCGACCACATCTATCTTCAACTTAAATGCCTACAACCCTATCACAGTACACCCCTCACAACCCCCCCGACCCACCACGTCCCCCACCACCCCCTAAGGAAGACTTCAATCCCTTCTTCACCACTTCCTGATCTGCAGCATCTCTATACCCACCCCCTCCTATACAGCCAACTATAGCACAAGTGGCCTCAAGTAAACCAGTGAGAAGAGTCTTCACAAGTGGCCTCAAGCTGATAGGGGCAATGTTTGTCTCAACATGTCATGATTGAGAGAGGCTGCCGAACAAGTGCAAAATGACAAGGGAAAAAAACCTCAAAGCCTGTGTGGAGGCCATGTCTATCAAGTTATGGTCATTTTTTTGTGAATTATGATGCGTATATTACATATAATGCTCTGTTCAGTTACTTGAATCCATGTATTTCATGTTGAAACCTCATGGTTGAAGGTGGCTGTAGTTCTTGGTGAAAATAAAAAGTTCAATGTGAATACTTTAAGGCCTTGTGCTTGCAGTTTTATCATGATTCACAAGGGAAATGTTTTAATTTGGCCTATGTTTGGTTTATGTGCTCATATAATGAGCAATATAATCATGTTTTGAGGTTTTGTACTAGCAATATAGTCATGTTTGATTTTGCTTGTAAATCACTATATATGTTTCATGCTTAGCAAATGTAGTATATATCTATATATGTCATGTCTAAGATTTTGTGGTTGCATGTATGGCTATGTTTGGCTTTAGGACATGTGTATATGCAAAAAATGAGTTATCTGCATTTTCCTAATATATGTATGATGTCTGAAATTTTGTACCTAAAATTGATGCATCTTACTAATATATGTAGCATGTATGAGATTGGTGCATACGGATTGAGGAGTGCATGGGGGTATGCAACCATTTGAATGAGTGGAGGGGATTATGCCACCTCACTACCAAGCATACGCATTTCTCTCTCTCTCTCCCTCTTTCTCTCTCTCTCTCTCTCTTTCTCTCTCTCTCTCTCTCTCTCTCTCTCTCTCTCTCTCTATATATATATATATATATATATATGTGTGTGTGTGTGTGTGTGTGTGTGTGTGTGTTTCATGCTTGGAAAATGTAGTATACTTTTATTCAATTGCTCGTTTCCCGCTTCAGTAATTAATTGTTCGTTTCCAACCAACCTCTTTCTTCTTTTATCTGCTCAATCGTCTTTCTCATGCAATGAATATCATCCTTCAATCTCTTGTTTTCAACCATAATCTTGTTCAATAGATATTTTGCCCTACTATCAATCTCCCCATCATACCATTTAAAAGAATCACACATTTTAGATGGATTAAAACAGTGAAAGCTGAAAAATCTCCTACCTGGGTTAGATTTTATCCTTGATGTCAATAAAGAAGCTCTCATGTTGCATTTGTAGTGGACCTCCATGGATCTATTGTGACTATGAGAAGAACTCATAGCAATTTCAGATGAGATGGAGACCTCAGACATTTCTTCACAATTCAGAGGAAAAATCAATGAAACAATAAGATTTCTATTCAATTGCAAAGCACCAAAGTTTGTCATCCTTAATGGTTCGTCTTCATCTACCTCTAGATTTAGGGGGTTTTTTTATCAGGTTGAAAGATGGGAGAAATAAAGAACAGAAGCAAGCAATGGGTAAAAATAAATTTATTTAGGGGTTAAACCCTGGTTAACGGTTGAGTTTTTTGTGGGAAACACGTGCAAGTCACGTGGTGTTAATGGGGGCAATTTGAGTAGTTATGTTGTTAATTGAACAGATTTTAATCAAAAGTGGTACATTGCAAAGAAATACTACTTATAAGGTGGTTTCTATCAAAATAAAACTTTAAAGGTGGTTGCCATATATTTTGTAAACTTATAAGGTGATTTTAATGGGGAAAAAAAACCCTAAGAACTAGTGTATAAAATTTTAAATCTTCATTTTACAATAACTTCAGAGTTTCTGCTATAAAAAAAATCTTTTAACATGATATAAGAATAGTATAGGTTTAAATCCAATAAAACACATTGCTGAAGAGGAAAATAGAGCCATCTTAGAAGGATAACTCTACCGCAAAACCCCACTTTTGTACTGAAACAAACGAAACTGTAGAGTTCTTCCTTAAAAAGTATCTATCGAAATTTGTGATCAATCAAGGAACCCACACTTTTTATTTCTTGCAGGACACTTTTGTTTCCAGCAGTATAACAGTAGTTTGAGAATTTCTTGCAGTACAAAAGGAACCCACGTTTCTATTTCTTACAATATATATAACAGTAGTTTGAGAAATTTCTCGCAACGCAAAAGGTGGTTGTGAGGTTTAGGATCTATTTATCCCAGTGTGTCAAGGTTTATTAAACCTCATCGTCATCACAAATAATCAAACTCAAAGCAAATATTACTTCGAAGGGACAACTTAGGTATAATACAAAGGCTGATTGGGCCCAAAAGCCGTGTTCCGTGTTTCAGGTGAGATAGCAAATCTTCTTCTCTTATTGGAGATAGGCGACAATCAACGTTGTTTGGTTGCTCTTCAGCTATCCAAAACCAAGAAGGTTTCAAAATATCAAGATATTATCAGAAGCTTTCTTCCTTCATGAACCTTGTTAACCAAAATCCTCACTGTGCCCCCCCTACAACATGGCTTTCTCCTATTGCCACTCCCTCTTCCCCCCTCTTCAGCCTCAAAACCCAAAACCCGCAAACTTCAAAAATCTCAAGCTCCCCCGCAACAAGAGCAGCCTCAGGTCACCTAGCAACCTCATACCTTGGAACTCCCTGATCACAAAACACCGTCGACAAGGATCCATACAAGCGGCCTTGCTTACGTTTTTCGAACTACGGAAGTCAGGGATACCACCCGACAGCTTCACCCTCTCTGTGCTCATTTCTGTTGTCCAAGAGCTGGCCGATATCTCTCTCGGTTGCCAGGTCCACGCTCTCTCCATCAAGTTCGGATATTGGGGAGAAGAATTTGTCGCCAACTCTCTGATTCAAATGTACGCTTCCTTCGAAACGATCGACAATGCTCTCCGTGTTTTCGAGGGGATGTCAGATTCAGCCAGTGTGGTGTCTTGGAACTCCATGATTGCGGAGTTTGTAAGTAGTGAGCTCTTCTCTGGTGGTCTGAAACTTTACGGAGACATGCAACGTGTAGGAGTTGAACCGACTCCTACAACTCTGAGCAGCGTATTGAAATCTTGCGCTAATCTTAAAGCGGTATCTGAGGGTAAACAAGTACACGCTCAAGTTATCGTTCGCGGGTTCGTTCCTAATGAGATTCTAGAAACTGTTCTTGTTGACTTCCACTGCAGATGTGGAGAGGTTGAGAATGGTAGGTTGGTTTTCAATCAAATGAAGAACAGAAATGTCTTCTCTTGGAATTCTATGATCAGAGGTTGTTCTCAAATTGGTTATAGAGAAGAAGCTTTGATGTGTTTTCAGGCAATGAGAAGAGGGGGGATAACTCCGGATAAATTCACATATAATGCGATACTGGCTGCAGCTGCAACTGAAGAAGACAACCACAATCTTCCTAGAGAGTTCAGATTGATACATGCTTCTGTTATCAAAGCAGGCTTGGTAATGGACAGATTCATCGGTACTTCTTTGATCGCCGTGTACTCAAGAAACCATTGTTTACGAGAAGCAAAGCTGGCGTTCGAGGATACAAATTCTACAGATATGGCTGTCTGGTCTTCCATGATTTCTGCAACTGTAAAGAACAGAGAAGGCCAAGAAGCTATCAATCTATTCGTCAGGATGTTAGGACTGAGGATTGAACCTAACTCTTACATTTTTTCGAGCCTCTTCTTGGCTTGCAGTGATCTTTCAGCAATTGAGGTTGGCAAACAAATCCATGGCTATAGTTTCAAGATCATAAATTCTCTGGACTCTGCAGCGAAAAATTCACTCATGACCATGTACTCAAACTGTGGATTTCTAACAGAAGCAATGACAATGTTCGATTCTATATCAAACCCACATCTAGTATCTTTCAACTCCATGATCTCAGTACTAGCACAGCATGGACTCCCTAATGAAGCTTCTAAAGCCTTTAAAGATATGGAGTCCTTTGGCCTGAAACCTGATGATATCACTCTACTAAACCTCCTCTCAGCCTTCAACCATGCCGGTTTAGTTTCTGAAGGCCTAGAACTGTTCGCTTCAATGGAAAAAATGCATGGTGTTAAACCTAAATATCAACACTATGCTTGTATAATTGATATGCTGGCTCGTGCAGGAGAGATCGATCAAGCCATCGGGCTCATCAATCAAATGCCATTCAGACCTGAGCCATCATTGTGGAGGATTGTACTTGGAGCTTGTGGTAAGCACCAAAACATAGGTATCGGAGTGCAGGTTGCAGAAAAATTGATCGAGTTGGAACCACATGAAGCGACAAATTATGTACTCATTGCGAATGTGTATGCTAGATTGGGGAGATTGGCAGAAGCTGAAAATATAAGACATTTGATGCGAGATAAAGGACTGAAGAAGGAGGAAGGTCTTAGTTGGATAGAGATCAAGAGAAAGATGTATAAGTTCAGAGTCGAAGATAAATCACATCCCCAATCAAAAGAGATCTACGACAAGTTAAGAGACTTGATGAACAAAATAACATCGACCGGCTATGAACCAGATGTGAGCTTCACAGTTCATGACATAGAAGAAGAGAGAAGAGAAGAGTCACTTTGGTACCATGCAGAGAAGCTGGCATTTGCATTTGGGGTTATTTCAACTGGCGAAGGGGTGAAGCTTAGGATAATGAAGAACCTTAGAGTGTGTGGAGACTGTCATAGTGCTTTTAAGCATTTCTCTCTGATCACTAAGAGAGAGATTTTGTTGAAGGACAACTACAGGTTTCATCATTTCAGAGATGGGGCGTGTTCTTGTGGAGATTATTGGTGATGATGGAATCAGAAGTATTGCATTGAGAGTAACATGTAAATTGATTTACATGTCAAGAACTATCACTCAAATGCAGCTAAACCACCTAAGTTCTATTGTTGCAGACTAACTCCTAAGTGAAAAATTTCAATTCTTTTACCCTCAGAAAATGAGTTCTTTTTAATTAAAACAAATAGACCTCCAGAGGGTAAAAGAGTCCTCAGGGGGTCTATTCACAATTAGGAGGATACCACACGGGTTATCCGCAACAATAGAACTACAACAGATCTATCCATAATTGGGCGATAGAAAAGGGGGTCAATCCACAAGTAATCCTATAACCCACCTCAATGGGGCTGAAACGGACTCCGTTGAACAGCATGCAGCAACATAATTTCATGATCCAAGGTAGAAGAAGACTAATAATAATGATAAACCTAAATTAAAGACATAAAATAACATGAATAGTGCAATCGGGCAGCTTTCATGACAATATCTTGCTTCCCAATTCTTCAGACAGACACAGAATCATCAGTGACCGATACACTTCTCTGAATGGTGGTGCCTTGTCAAATGGGTAAAGAATGAGATAAGCAAAAAATGATGTCGTTAAATAGAAAGCATGTTCTAAGCGCCGGAATTCCTTGTGAAGTCAACACAGGTCTGGCAGCTGCAGTCATGAAAACGGCAGATGTCACATCCGAAGCAGACACAGGTGGTGCAGCCTTGGCATGAAGGGGAGCGAGAGCATCCTCTTAAGACCTTGCGGCTGGCTCGCTCCTCGTCATCATCACAGGTGACCCTGATTCAAGAAAAGCATGAGAAGTCAGCTAAGTCAACAAATTAACTACGAAATTCTGTCTGAAAATGAGAAAGCCAGAAGAACAATGTTAATTAGACAATTCCTCTATCGACCTATCCATGTATAAATTACAGATGCATGTAATTACAGATATGATTATGAATTAATTACATTCAGGTACCCTGAAGTACGGTGTAACTACATTGTTGACCCTGAAGTTTGTATATCTGCATGGTAACCCTGAGATTATTAATTGTATCAACACGGGCCTGATAAGGAAAAAATAAACAGACTTCAGGATCAATCATGTAATTACAATAAGTAATCTCGGGGTTAGCAGTGTAGATACGCAAAACACAGGGTCACCTCTGTAATTACACCATACCTTAGGTTACCTGAATGTTACTAATCCTATGATTGATTATTTCTGAAGTGAAGAAGCATGTAAAGGACATTGTCACAAGGATGAACTGCAAGAGAAGACACAAATAATGATGCCAAAAAATAAAAATAAAGAAATAAAAATTTAAAAATTAAAAACAAATAAAATTAAAAATTAAAAATTAAAAAAATCCTAAAATAGTACACAGGTACCCTTCATAAAGAGAGGTTTCATGATAGAACTGTACTTAGAAATATAATTCATATGAAATCTGTAACAAATAATCTTCATTGACCTTAACAAATCTGCATAAACTCTGTTAACAAGTTCATCCTCGGAAAGAAGCTATAAGAAGATGAAAAGGCAACTGAACTTTCAAAGAAACACAGATGGATCATGAAACTCCAAAAGAACACTTGAATCTCATCCAGTATACATTTTTTCTAACCAAGAGTTAGCAAAGACAATCATTAACAGAACTGTCACTCTAAGTACAGCATCCAAAGGGGAAAGTGCATCTTTTTCATTATAGGCAACAGAATTTTCCCCTCTATTTTGAATCAGTATAGAAGAGTAACCAATACTCTTCTATACCGTGATAGTAAACTCTTCTATACCGTGATAGTAGCATAGTACTCAATTTGATATTTCAGTTATAGAATAGCTTTTAAGTGAGAAACCAAGAAGATATAAGTATTATTCTAGTAAATTATGTTAGTTAAAAAAAATCAACCGTTGACTGGATTATACAAAAACTGTTAACACAAAAAGGAGCATCTTAGAGTCTAAGTTCACCTCAAATAAAATAAATGATAAGCTCATATTCCCAACTGCAGACAAACCAATCTCAAGAAAATATCAAGGAAGACTTTTGTCTCTTCACTTTACTTCTTTTATGCTCTTGAAATGAGGAAAAAATTGTTCAAGTCAATCCAATTTAAGTCAGGAAAAAAGTGGTTTCAAAGACTTAATTTAACTTGAGTCTATGCAGTCTCATGCCTCCACATGACCACCCATCAAGACTTCTTGTTCACTTTAGTTCTTCTATGCCTCGGATACGAGGAAAATTTATTAATGTCAATGCAAATAAAGTCAGATACCTGTAGTTTCAAAGTCTTAATTTAACTTGAGCTTATATGCAGTCTCATGGCTCTACCCAAAGCCCCACAGATGCACACACAATGTAAGAAAGGGCTTGAAAATAAGATGCAATCAATCCCCCAGTCAAAAAGTATACTTCATCCATACCAGGAAAAGAAAAGGAAATATATAAGTTGTCACATACACGCTCATAAACTGTGCAAGTCCAGTTGGATATAGCCTATAACAGAAACCAGATGAAGAAAACAAGTGATAACAAGCACATGGTAAACATTATTAGACTTTAACTCTGCTATGAAATACAAGTAGAATATTAGACATCGTGTAACTGTTCAAATGGAGATGCAAGGAAAGATGGTGCGTGTGCGAAAATGCATGTGTCTACTTCTGTCTTTTGTTTTAATAAATGCAAGTTTGTGAACAGAAGCACACAACAAGAACACCCGTGGTTGGTATCAGAACGGGTTGGTTATGGATCTCCTAAATCCATTTTGAATCTGCAAGGCATTGGGTTCAACTTTTTTAACCCAAATCTTCTCCATGTGGCATCCACAGAGTTTTGTTTTCGTTGGGACTGGATTCATAATAATCTAGATTCAGAAATCTAAAAGAGTACATGTTTCCTTCTAAATAAATGTATTTGATGGTTTTGTATGCTGTTTTTACAATGTATCACTATCATCAGGCATCCCTTTTCTGCCTATTCTAAAAATGAACATGTTGCAGTGGAAGTTGGACAAACATGTGATTTTGGAATAATTATCTTGGATACAATATATTTCCGTGTCTCTATATCCTCTTTTGTCCTTACAGCTTTTCCTCTAACATGTCCACTTGTTTGTGTCTGTGCTATCTAGCCCATAGTTACCAACGCGTGACCCTGAAATGAGATAGAATACATGCCACATTGTGGTCTCCAAAAATATAGGACTATCTATATGCATATGTATATGTATGTTTATATGCATGCATACATTGAAAAGCAGAAAGCGAAGAGAAGCGGTGAGGCACCGCTCAAGCTTTTTGGGGCTTTAGCAGCAAAAAACAAGTAAAAAAGCGGATTTGGACTGGAGAACAAGGTGGAAGATATCCTACTGGAGATGGTGATGATGAGCGTTGACTAAAGATGGTGAAGGTGAGCTTCGATAAGGAGCTCAAGAGAAGGTGATGTTGGATGGTGACGTTGAAGGCGAAGCTAGCTGGAGAAGGATTAAGAGGCAGATTTGGAAGCAGATTTGGTGGTGGGAGGTAGCGGAGTCAGCCGGAGGAAGTGGACGAGGTGGTTGGAGCACAGTTAGGGTATATTTTCATGTCGAGTCGCAGATGCAGAGAGGAGAGAGAGGAGCAGAGGGTTTTACTTACGAAAATGGGTTAGGTTCGGATTCAAATCGGATATAATATACACCCGTATTTGTTTTCTTAAAGCGCTTTTATGAGCTTCCTACCGCATTTTCGAGTAGAAAGTGCCATGTCCGCTTTCGTTGGCCACTTTTGACGAAAGTTGAGTGGTAAGGTATCCCGCAGGCCTTGCACCACTTGAGCGGACAAAAGCGGGTCTTTTCAACTGTGGTATACATAGCGATATTGAACATACATAGATAATTCAGTATGGGGTGATAAATCATCTTCTGAATGAGCTTACCAAAATAAAGACTAGTGGTAATGTTCACATGGCCCCACTATCAAGGTTTTAAATATCGGATATCGGGGAAATATCGGATGACCAAAATTCATATCGGATTGTGGATATCGGAGAAATATCGGGGAAATGTGGTAAATATCGGAATGTCATAATGAATGTTTGTATACATAGTATAATGCATTAAAATGTAATCTCAACATATGTAATGAAATTTAAGCATACAAAATATGAATAATATATGTTTAGGATCACTAATCAACCTTCTAAAACAAACAAAAGTGCAAAGCAACGTCGCAACATTCGATCTGCTTTTTTTAAGGCAAAATATCATTTGATATAATGGGAAAATCTTGATATCTCACCCAAAAATTCCAAACACGGTATATTATTTTGTAACAAGCTATATAAAAAGATATATTGGTCCACATATCGGCCATATCAGGGATTTATCATTCAAAATAGCCAAAAAACGGTAAAAGATATTTAAAGACCATATCGGTTGCGGCAAGCCCTGTAAAAGGATATATCGGGGGATATATCGGGCCATGTCGGGGATATTTAAAACAATGCCCACTATGCTAGTCACATCGAAGCACAAGGTGTTTTTCACTTTTATCACTTGGTAGCTCAATTTCAAGTAAGATGACAACTCATACAATATGCTTATTATATATGTATTCACACAATATTTAACAAAGGATTGTTGGTTATGAGTTGGCAGCTCTTTTTTCCCCTTCAGACGAACCATCAATAGAAAAAGAGTGATGACACCTACCCATAGTCATGTCTAGTGTTAAGTCAAAGAAAGTGGCTATTGCCACCGAAAGCTACCGTCTTTGACAAAGAAAAAATTGATGCAAAAATTATTGCAGAAACTTTGGACAATTATAAAAGGGTGGCGGGCCCACAACGTCAAAGAAAAAATTGATGCAAAAATTATTGCAGAAACTTTGGACAATTATAAAAGGGTGGCGGGCCCACAACAGAAAAATACTATATTTTATTAGTGCATAATGTTTTCCAAACACTATAAATAAGATCAAAACTCTTCAAGAAAAATCATCTCAGAAACAACTCCTCTTATAGAAGAGTAA